GCCACTGAGCTGGGGGAGAAGGGAGGCCACTGAGGCAGGTGCCTGGCACCATCAGCACCGGGAAGCTGGGAAACAGCCACATTCTTGCCGGGAGGTCCAGGCACTCAGACCCAGATGCCGTGAATGGGGTTGAGGGTGGACACTGTCAGGCTAAAGGACGTGAGAGGTGGCTGGGCCACCTCCCATGGTCCCAGGCACCATTCAGGGAGCATGTGCTATACAGACATGGCCCTCAGAACAGGCTCCGTAGCACAGGTCTCTGGCATGAAGGAGGGGAGGGAGGCTTAGAGGCTGGACACGCCGAGGCTGTGCAGACCGCAGGTGGCCTCCAGAAGGCCCAGGTGCACAGCCACCACCCTGGCAGGCCGCAGCCAGTGGGGACCCAGGGAGGGTAAGTGACCTGCCCGGGACACACAGCAAGCCCTGGGCAGTGCAGCTTCTGCCAGCTCTCCTGAGCCTCCTGCTGGGGGGACCTCTCTGCCCATGGGGTCTCTGTCCCGCTCAGAGTTGAGAACTGCAGGTCAGCGGCCTTGGCAGGGCCACGTGAGCGGAATTCACAGAGCCTGGAGTGATGGCGCCATATGCTTCTATTTCTGGGCACCAGATTACGTACTGACAGTGTCGGGATCGCGGTCACACTCAGGGCTGGGGAGGGGGTGGGAGGGAGGCCCTCCCAGGCCAGGAGGAGGGGTGGGACAGCCTTGGCGGGGCAGTGGGGGCCGACCCCCAGGCGGCACGAGCTGTCGTGTCAGCCTGTGTGGCTGGAGGACTGGGATCTCAGCCTTGCTCAGCGGCCAAGCCAGAGGCTGCAGAGTGGCGTGGGGAGAGGCCGCAGCCGGTCACACCTGGAGAGTGGCAGACTGCACCGCGCCTGCGGTCCCTCAGCCAGCCTGGTTCACCAGCACCAGCCTGGCACACACCTGACATACCCAAGAGCCAGCGATGCCTGAGAACTGGAGGTCAGGTGAATGAGCCAGGCACTAGCTGGTGTGACTGGGCGGCCAGGCTGGGCATGGTGGCCCCGGGGGCACAGGGCAGCCAAGGGGCAGAGTATTTGCCTCCTTTTGACCTCAAGAGATGGACCAGCCAGAAATAGCAGTGTCTTCCCACAGCCCGGGATGCCGGGTTTTAAACCATGGGGCCCGGGGCAGTCTCCGAGGCCTTCCTGGGCCCAGGGGCGATCCCACCAGCTGACCTCCAGATGCCCAGGCCCCCACCCTGCAGCCTTACCACACCTGCTTCAGCTGCTGGGCGTCTGTACTTGCCATGGAAAAAAGGGTTTTGCTGCTAAAGTGAAAGGTTCGGGTCTAACTCGGCGCTTGGCCTGTGGGTCCTGGCAGCCCTCGCAGGGCATTCGAGGAGGTCGAGGCCATGGGCTACCCAGTCAGGGCAAGACCCTGAGCCCAGAGCAATCAGCGCCCTCTCCCCGCCTCTCCCCTTCCTCCTTGAACCCAGGAGCTGGCCACAGGCACTGGGCGGGGAAGGCCGATTCCAAACAGCCTGCCGCTGACCCTGGGTTTGCAGCTGAGTGACCTGGTCACAAAGGCGACAGATGCTCATGCCTTCTGTGGCTAGTGTCACGTTTTGACCTACCTTGGGTCCCAGTGTTGGCCCACGTTAACCCCCTAGACTCCAGCAGTCCTCCTGCCTCAACTCCCTTTAGGCACTGGAGGTCTCAGAACTTGGCCAGGTCATTTTGACCACAGTGGGACCTGGGAGAAGAAAACTCGTGGGTACACCCGCTGACTGCCACCCAGCCTCCAGGGCCCAGTGGCCTTCCATTGCACCCCAGGGCTGAGCCAGGACCCTGAGTAGCTTCCATTGCCCCCATTACAGGTGTCCAGAACAAGGCCCAAGAGGTGGAGCGGCTCATTCCCATTAGTGAACCCTCCGGGACTCTGGAGCCTGGAGCTCTGTCCCTCCCCAGAACTGCCCCCTCCCCAGGTGACCTCGCTGGCTGGAGAGGACGACCAGCCTGGCCTGCTCACTGCTCCTGAGGATGAGGAGATGCCAGGTCTGTGTGGCCACCTCTTCCCAGCTTCCACCAGCCCTGGGCAACTGGCAGGCCTGGCACCCCTCCTGGCACCTCTCCTGCCAGACCTGCAACCTCCCCCAAGCTCCAGACAGCTCCAAACCTGGTGTGGGTCCAGTGCACAGGGAGCCCCAACCCCTCCTGGGAGCAAGAGCCATGGGTTACTGCGTGTGTAGACCAAGGTTCTCTGCACCCCTGCAGGATCCTCCCCCATGGGGCTGGATAGCCCCTGTCCACCAGGCCACGTCTGCCTCTCCCCTGTGGACAGGCACATCAGGGCATGAGGCCACCAGCAGCCCTGCAGCCAACAGGAGCAGACCCGGGGAGGCGAGGGTGCACAGCCCAGCCGAGCAGCCGTGAGTGTGCTCAGGCTTCAGGAGAGGCCTGCCTCTACTGTCTTCCACTGTGGCAACAAGAAGGCCTGGTTGGGCCCCAACGAGCCCAGGAAAATTGCCAGAGCCAACTCTGGTCAGCCGATCGGAAGCTGATCAAGGACGGGCTGATCATCCACAAGCCTGTGACTGTCCATTCCCGGGCTCGATGCCGGAAACACACCTTGGCCTGACGGAAGGGTAAGCGAAAGGGCACGGCCAACAGTAGAATGCCAGAGAAGCTGACCTGGGTGAGGAGGATGAGGGTCGTGCGCCGGCTGCTCAGACGATACGGGGAGTCTAGAGGATTGACCGCCACGTGGCTCACCACCTGTGCCTGAAGGTGAAGGGAATGTGTTCAAGAACACGCGGATTCTCGTGGAGCACCCGCCGCTGAAGGAAGACAAGGCCCACAGGAGCTCCCGGCAGGCCAGGCCGAGGCCTGCCAGTCTAACCTAGGGAGCACGTGGTGCCGTGAGGAGCGCCTCCAGGCCCGGAGGGAAGAGATTGTCAAGACTGTCCAAGGAGGAAGAGACCACGGAATAAAGTCCCCGTCTCTTGTCTGTGCACAGTGGCATTGGCAGTTACCCTGATCATCGTTTAAATAAAATAAGCCTTTGTCTGCTAAAAAATAAATAAATAAAATAAAGCCCAATGGAGAGCCCGCAGTGCACCACAGCGAAGGCCGGGGTCTGCGCTGACCGGGAGGCAGCGTTCGGAGCAGCATGCACGCGCAACCCTCAGGGCCTCGAACCCCGGCCGTGGGCGGCTCCTGGCTGGCCGGACTCCGACAGCAGGTCGTCGCCGCGTGCGTGGGAGCCTTGGTTAAGTCCACGCTGTCTGTGGAAGGAGTCTGGGCCATTGCCGCCACTGCCATCAGGGGACCGAAAGGCTAGCGTTTTCAAAGTTGGACGTTTTCTGCGGTGGGCATCAGCTACCGCGCCTTCTGTGTGCCTTTTTCCTGCTTTCTTTTCTGAGAACGAGCGCCCGCCAGCCCTTCTGATACACACTGACGTCTTCGCGGGAGGCCCGCAGTGCTGGTCGACCTAACTCACTTGGTCACAGGCCCACCCTCAGCCAGCACTGCCGCTGTGCCAGGCAGGGCCACAGGGACAGGCTCCATCCAGTTAGCAGGGACCTTCCTGCTCCAGTGCTGAATGTCTGGTACCCTGGGAGCCCCTCTGCCCCAGGCAAGTCCTGGCAGTTGGTCACCCAGGGGTGCTGTGCAGGCCCCTTTGGGAAGTGGGCACCCATGATCTCCATCTTACTTACAGGTGAGCCAAGTTACGCCCCTTGTCCAGGGCCAGTGGTTGGGAGGCTCCAGGCCTGAGGCCCAAACCCAGGCCTCTGACTGCGGACTCTGTCCCCATACCTCACTGTGCTGTCATTGCTGTCACTCCGGGAGGGCTTGCAGGCCACCTCGGACAGAGCAGCATGAGCGAGCGGGTGCTGGCGTATCCACACAGAGGCGTGTTAGTCAGCCGTGAGCAGGAAGAGAGTGCTGACACGGGCTATAGCTCAGATGACCTGGAAGCCCGTGTGCTGGGAGAAAGGGGCCCTGCTCAACGCATCATGTTATAGGATTCCATTGACAGGAAACATCTAGAAGAGGAAAATCCACTGGGTCAGAAAGCAGACTGTGGGTTGCCAGGGCTGGGAGAGACAGGCTGGGGAGTGACTGCATAATGGGCACAGGGTCTCCTTCTGGAATGATAGAATGTTCTGGAACTGGATAGAGCTGGTGGGGTCGGCCTGGTGAACATCCTACATTGTCAGTAGTCAGATGCATTCAACTGGCAATACCATGCCACGCCAAGTTTGCGCCATCTTAGCGACAAAGGGAGTGAGAGCGTCCTGCTCTTGGCGCTGGCAGGGCCCTTGGGAGGTCCTCAGAGAAAACTGCCCCAGCTGGGACCAGCAGTTAGCATAATGGCTATGTCGCTGGACTCCCACATAGTCGACCACGGTTCACGTCCCGGACCCGGTGGCTTAAAACTCACACCAGGCGCGTGTGCGTGCGTGCCCAAGATCCCGAGAGGAGAATGGAGGAGAAGGGATTGCGGCGTGGCCATCCCCCCTGGGGGGGTGATTTCTCGCTTTCTGTCTCTCTGTCTCTGTCTGGCTGGCGAGCGCACGCGCCCTATAGCAAAAAAAACCTCTCCAAAAAAAGAAAAGGAAAACTGCCCCAGCCCAGGGCCCCAAGCACCAGGGTAGCACCCTCCAGGTACCCTAAACCCCCACTCCCCCCAGTGCATGGAATGGGGAGCATCCTGGAGCTGCAGCTGGGATAGAGAGGGGACACGTGGGTGAGAAAGTGCCGTAAAGGAAGTGAGGTGGGCAGAGCTCTCAGACTGGATGGAAGCTTCCCTGCAGCAGGGGTGGATATGGAGGGAAGATCAGTCCAGCCAGGAGGGGTGGGTGAGGAGGGAAGGGCAGCCCGGCGGAGGGCTCAGCAGAGCAAAGGCGGTGAGGCGGGACCTTGCTGGAGGTCGGTGGCCAGGGAGGATTAGAGGGGACTGAGGTGGAGGGGCCGGGCGTGGCGCAGTGGTGGCCCTGGTGGAGGTGGTGGCACTGACAGCTCTGTCCCCCGCCCACAGCCCTGCTCCTGGACATCATGACGGTGGCCGGCGTGCAGAAGCTCATCAAGCGGCGCGGCCCCTACGAGACGAGCCCCAGCCTCCTGGACTACCTCACCATGGACGTCTACGCCTTCCCCGCCGGCCACGCCAGCCGCGCGGCCATGGTGTCCAAGTTCTTCCTCAGCCACCTGGTGCTGGCGGTGCCCCTGCGCGTCCTGCTGGTGCTCTGGGCCCTGTGCGTGGGCCTGTCACGCGTGATGATCGGCCGCCACCACATCACGGACGTCATCTCGGGCTTCGCCATCGGCTACCTCCAGTTCCGCCTGGTGGAGCTGGTCTGGATGTCCTCTAACACCTGCCAGATGCTCATCTCCGCCTGGTGAGGCCGGGCCCAGGGCAGGGCCAGATGCTCACCTCCGCCTGGTGAGGTGGCGGGCGGAGTGAGTGGCTGCCCCGAGAATCCTCTTGGTCAGGGGCCGCCTGCCCAGGGATGAGCACGCTGGGTACCGCCAGGCCTCCCGCTCCTTGGCTTGGACGGAGTCTCCACTCAAGGCGGGCCGGGCCGAGACCCACCCCCGGGCACAGCCCTGCTTTGCTTCTGCTTGGACAGGACAGGCGAGGACAGATGGTGGGAGGGCCCGAGCTGGCTCGGCTTGGTCGTCCTGCCCTTGGTCGTCCTGCCTCGAGATCTTGGCTGTGCCCCTGACGGCACGCTGCTCGGCAAAGTACCCCAGCCACCGCCCAGCCAGGGGCCGTTGCCATGACGGCCATCGAGGCTTAGGGCAGCACTTTCTGAGGCGTGACCACGGGACACCAGCCTGCGAGACGCTTCGAGGAGAAGGGTTTTGTGGCCCAGCGCGGTCGGGAGCGGTAAA